TTTACTATCGCCCTTTGTTGCTTTTCCTTGTCATAGGCACAGCTCTCACCACTTTCCACTAGCTCTGGGGTGTCTCACTTTGGGTGGTGAGCTTACTGAGCTAGTCCCTGGAAAAGACTAGCTGCCACAGCTAAGACCTGATTCAGTAGCTTCCACTGCATCTTACCCATAGCAGACTCCTTTTAGGAAAGTTGCTCATAATCTTAGAATGTTTACCTTTATTAACTTTAGTTGTGATCATTTCTTGTATATAATGTAAGGGAAAAAGGAGGGAGAGGGAGGGAGAGAGGGAAGAAAGGAGGGAGGAAAAGGGAGAAGGAAGGAAGGCAGGCAGACAAGAAGGAAGGAAGGAAGGAAGGAAGGAAGGAAGGAAGGAAGGAAGGAAGGAAGGAAGGAAGGAAGGAAGGAAGGAAGGAAGGAAGGAAGGAAGGAAGGAAGGAAGGAAGGAAGGAAGGAAGGAAGGAAGGAAGGAAGGAAGGAAGATCCAAGGGAAAAGCAAGGCTAGAAAGAAGGAAGAGGGAAGAAGGAAACAAGGATCCAGGCTTTCTGTGTAGCAAAGGATTTTTGCAGCTCCTATATAGTGATCTTAGTCTTTAGAATGAAAAGTTTCTGTATATGGCAAACATAAAAGTAATAGAGTAGTAGTTAGCAGGGCTCCTAATTGCCATACATTTAGCACTTCTTAGAAGGTAACGCCCACATTGTGACAAACAACTCACCAAACCGGAGGAGACAGGATTTATTAAGCTTTGAACGAGTGAGATCTACTTTACTTCCTTCTGGAACAGCTACTGGGCTCTTTTTCTTTCATTTTAATTTTTTATGTACTGAAACCCAGTCTACCTGCACAATCTTCTGCTCTACCTCTAGTCAGCTTCTCTCAGCTCACTCAGAAGGATTGATGATTTGGGAAGGCATAGTTTGGTGCATGATCTGCTTTGTCTGAAAGAATTAGCAAATAGAAACTGAGAAAGGACATCACTGCAAAATGCATAGGCTTGCAGAGACTGACTATACTGTGTTCACCAGGAAGAGTGAATGGAAACCTGGCAGAAATCTGCAGTGCAGGGATAGCAATATCTTTACCATCTCTGTCCATCACCCTTCTTCTGACACCTATGGCTTATTCTTGTGTTTGGCTGTTGGTTCTGAGCAGCTGTATCCTGTCATTTCATGCTTACTTTCACCTGGGAGTTAATTGCTACTTTGCAATTCATGATCTGGTGAGGTTTTTGTTTTGTTTTTGTTTTTAAATCTTGCTGCTGCTAGAGGATAAAAGTTCTAAGCACATTAGTCCTTGACTGTGAGATCCAAGCCACTTATTTTTGCTCTAAAAAATATTTCCTATCAATATCCCAGAAATACTTTCAAATAATGATCTAAGAATTTCCCAATGGAACTTATGAGACCTAAGTGTGTTGGGATAGCATTATAAAGGGGTAATCACTTCACTTTGTCTTTTGAAGACAAAAAAAATGTTGTTTTTTTTTATTTATTCATCTTAACTCATGTTGACAATCCCGCCAGAATTAGACTCGTTTGTCTAAGGAATAGGATGATATGTCTGTCTTATATTAGGGCTACTTTTTATAGTTTGTCTACCATTGGTGTGGAGTCCTGTGCATTTGTAGGGTGGGAATGGGGAAATGATGCTGGTTTGGGTTTTTGTGGAAGTCTCAGGATTTATTGTAAAAGAATCCGAGTAGTTCTGCTGCTTCTTTGGGTGACCCTTCAATCCACAGCAACCTGTCAGGGATTCAAACACCAGTGGGATCTGCTTGCAGTTCTGTGAGGTTCTGCAGGAGAGCCTGGTGACAGCCCACAGCAGGTGGTCCATCCCATGCTGTCACTTGAGGTAGCAAGGATATGCAGCCCAATTTATCACTGCATGGAAGGCTGTCAGCACAAAATGTTTAATAGCAGAGGCAAGCCTTCTTCCTGAGATCTTTTACAAGAATTGTCACAGAGAAAAAATATTAATATCTATTCAATATTGCATATGCATAATCAGTTTTTCACTCGAAGAGGTAGTATCAGGTCTAAGTTATATACTATGTAATGTATAGAAGCATTGTCTACCCCTGTGGTTTTACAGCCCCAAAGATGCAAATTTGCCTTCATATCATTCTGTCAAAGGTTCTGTTAAAGCACACCAGATCCTTGAGAGATGTAACTCAGTTTTCTTTTCAGAAAGATGGTTTGGTTTGTTTGTAAACCTGTAAAGGATTCCTTGAATGGAATTCTGAAAGGGACTTTAGGTCCCTTAGGTAGCTGAATAGTAGACCTCTTTCTCAGCATGTGCAGAGAAATCCCTGTTCAATCCCCAGCACCTCAAGAAAGGGGACAAGTATTAATTCTTAACTATCTGTAATAACAATTCAATAAATGGCTCAAGCCTCTAATCCTAACTACTCAGGAAGCTGAGTTCTGAGGATCACGGTTCAAAGCCAGCCTGGACAGGAAAGTCCGTGAGACTCTTTTCTCCAATAAAGAAACACTAGAAAACCGGAAGTGGTGTATTGGCTTAAGTGGTAGAGCTCAGGGACAGCGCCCAAGCCCAGAGTTCAAGCCCCATGACCAACAAAAAAAAAATAATATAGTTTATAATCCCTGGATTGTTGTTTTGTCAGATTTGTTTGTTTGGGGCATTCTGGGATTTGAACTCAGGGCCTTTTTGCTAATTGAATAGGCACTCTCCTACTGAGTCTCACCTCCAGCTTCTTTATGTGCTGGATGTTTTATAGATAAGGGCCTGGCACATGCCTGAGCCATGGTCTGTCTATTTTTCTCTTTTTGTGGTAGCTGGGATGACAGGTGCATGATACCATACCCTGTTTCTTTTCATTGAGATGGAGTTTTAAGGATGTTTCTACCCAGGCTGGCCTGGAACTGGCCATCTTCCCATTCTTAGCCTCTCAAGTAAGTAGCTTATAGGAACATGCCACTCTGTCCAGCTATTGGTTGAGAAAGGGTCTAGCAGATTTTCCTCCCTGGCTGTACATGATCTTCCTGATATCAGCCTGCTGAGTAGCAGGGATTACAGGCATTAGTCACTGGTGCCTGGCATATGAAGATTTTTATCTGATTACTAACTTTGAAAACTGATATTCTTCTCTCCTTGCTTATCAATACTTATTTGTTATTATTTGTCCAATTATGGTTTGAAGCTAGATTTCTTCACATAGATTATTATCTCTGCATAAATCCTCCAAAATGCCATTAGCCTATTTTCTAAATGGAGTAATTGAAGGGTAACTAATGAGACCAAGAGACAAGAAAGGCTATGAGGAATTAGGAAACAATAAATATAATCAGAGTACAAGTCAAGATGGAAGACAAAATTAATTAAAAGTCACAACAAAATACGGGCTTTCCAAAGGATATAAAGGCAGATTCAAATGGAAAACTAATATCTGATTGGTCAAGTAAACATAAAAAAGAGCATCTGACACTCCAATAAAAATAATATAAATGTTTGAGCCAGGTGCTGGTGACTCACACTTGCAATCCTAGCTACTCAGGAGGCTGAGATCTGAGGATCTCAGTTAAACGCTAGCCAGGACAGGAGAGTCTGTGAGACTTTATCGCCAATTAACCACCAGAAAACTGGAAGTGGTGCTGGGACTCCAAGTGGTAGAGTACTAGCCTTGAGCAAAAGAGCCCAGTGACAGCACCCAAAGTTCACGACTCACAACCAACAACAAATAAATATATAAACAGATAAATAAATAAGAAGTGGATAGGCCAGACTAGGAATTCACATTATAGGTATGAAGCAGTAGACAAGAAATTAATTTATCTTAAGATTGCTTTTATTTTTCTGAAAGAGTACATAGAGTTTTCACTGGTTAGATACTGACTTTGCTTCTTATCCTGCTAATACCAGCAGTAAGTAGGATTTTTTTTTCTGGTGTGGTTTGAGCCCTGTTCTATGGTATCTGACCTATGTATATAGGGAGGTCATTTGTGTAACTGTGAAGTTTAACATGTGAATAGCAAGTTACACATGAAGACATTGACAATTAGAATTAAGCCTTGTTTCTATACTCCTAATACAAAATAAAAATAAAATTTCTAGTACTTTGTTCTACATTTCTAGACATTTAAGATGTCAAAAGTGTGTTGGGAATTAGTCAATAATGATCTTCAACAATAGAAATTCAGGTGGCATAACAATCATGTAGAAAAGGGTTTCTGAACTGTATACTAATGTAATAAACTCGATTATAACTTTTTTCACTGTATGCTAGTATATATTCAATTATAGTATATATATTTTTTCATTTGGAACAAATAAGCCTATTTTCCTTTTCTGTACATTGTTTAAAATACATAAAGATGACATGAGCATCCAAAGTAAATAATAAAATTGGTTAGCCTGCTGAAGAAGTGATACCCAAATTGTGCTTCCTTAATGTGACTTGGTACCAACACCTTTGAGACCATTTGGAAAAAAAAATTTACTTAATGACAATACACCATCTCATTTCAAGATACATTTTAAAAGGTTGATTACCCTGTGCTATTTAATTTTTTAAAAAATAAATTAAAACCCAGCACTGGTGGCTCATTCATGTAATCCTAGCTATTCAAGAAACTGAGCTGTAAGGATCAAGACTCAAAGCCAGCCCAGGGAGAAAAGTTTGTGAAACAACTCTCTCCTCTTAACCATCAAAAAGCTAGAGGTGGAGCTGTAGTTCAAGAGGTACAGCACTAGCCTTGAGCAAAAAAAAAAAAAAAAGAAAAATCAGGGACAGCATCCAGGTCCTGAGTTCTAGTCCCAGGCCAGCACACCAAAAGCAATAATAAATTAACTAGAATCACATTTTTATGATTTGCATCTCTGTAGTTCCTTGCTCTTGTTTGTCAAATCTGAAACATTGGTGAAGTCCAATTAACTCATCTGAACTCCTTCCATTAGGAGAATATAAGATGAAAGCCTTATTAGGAGAGGGTTGAGAATGGATATGAACCTTTTCCCTCCTTTATCTTTTATCCAGCTACATCTACATCTACCACTGGCACAAGTCATCTTGTCAAGTGTGCAGAGAAGGAGAAAACTTTCTGTGTGAATGGAGGAGAGTGCTTCATGGTGAAAGACCTTTCCAACCCTTCAAGATATTTGTGCAAGTAAGAAAAGAAATCCTTTCTGTGGCTTATATCCATAACTGCTCATCCCTCATGATTCTGCCATGTCTTGTGAGGTGGTTTGTAGCTTCTTTTTCCAATTTCATTGCATTCCGCTGAATAATGCTGGGTTTTTTTTTTTGTAGAGTATCTTGAAATGTTCACATCAGTTGTCATCATCTTCTTCGTTGTTCCTAGAATTTTTTTGCTCTTTTCAATGTGTGGTTTGTTTTGTTGTTGTATTGTTGGTTGCCTTTGTTTTTTTTTAATCTTGAGTTGTTTTGGTTTTTTTGTTGTTGTTGGTTTGTTTTGGTTTGTTTATTTTGCCTTCATATATATATATCATGTTGTTTTCCTCATGGTTTTTCTTCATTGTTACTCAGAAGAGATACCTACTTCTCTATATACAGTGTATGCATTGCACTATAAGATAATATTCCTCTCCTACCCCAGTGATGATCTACAAAATGAATAGGACAACTAAAGGAAGCAGAAGGTCAGAAGATTCTTGATATGCTTGTCACACTTGGGATTATCTCATTGTTCTACAACCAGAGACAAAAAAATAAACTTTAGGTTAATACTACTCATAGTAGAAAACGCAAGTCGCATGTGTTCAGAATTGTATGTAGTGTGTGTAACACCAAACTGTGTAGAAGGCAGTGTGCTTTCAGGCACTGCTGTCATCTACAGGTCTTGATTGACCTTTTCTTTCCAAAGACATTAGAGAATAGTATCAAATTGGTGGGCCTGGGAGTCTATCAAGTTATGAGGCTGAGACCAAGAGAATCAAGGTTTGAGGCCAGCTCAGGTACAAAGTTCTTGAAGGCCCATCTCAACCAATACGGTACATAAGGTGGCATGTACCCATTATGCAAACTATATGGGGGAGTTAAAGATCACAATTCCAGGCCAGCTCAGGCAAAAACAAAACCAAATTCAGCAGGAAAATCTTGGTTTTGCAGTTCATATCTATGTTTGAAACCCTATCTCAAAAATAGCCAGAATAAAAAGGGCTGGAGGTATGGCTCAAGAAGTAGAGCACCTGTCTAGCAAGTGTGAAAGCTTTGAGTTCAAACCCTAATACCACAAAACAAATAGATAAGTGTTAAATGTATTCTCTCTTATCAGTATAAAACAGACATATTATCTGTATATTAAGTATTAAGATTTTAATAAAAATTAATATTAAACTGCCTAATTTTATTATGTCTTGGATTTTAAGTTTACTATTGTTATTTATTCTTCATGTAGTGTTTGGTGTTTGTAAGGGATGTTTCCTATCATACCGAAATAGTGAAGAACATAACGTTGGTTTTGCTTTCTACCAATCACTATGTCCAAAGCAAGGCATTTCAAAAGCAATTCCTTTAAAAATGTAGTACAGTATACAACTGGTGTTCCAGTCTTAAGGAAGCCTTGATTATATTTGTTAGTAACCAAGTGCATCTTAAAAGATAAGCATTTCAAATCTAATCCTGAACCCAAATGGCATTTTGGAGGAAATGGTTTGCTGAGCCCTGGGCTGTGCAACGGGCTTTTCGGGGTCCCACAGGGCCTCATGACTGTGGACTTACGTCCTCTGGAACAGTTTCCTTCTTGCATTCAAAGTACCTCTTTTAAAAAGAGTAAAGAAAGCAGTGACAAGAGAAGCATGTTCTGGTGATTGTATAGTTGATTTTTATCAATGGAGGCAGACAGTTTGTAAGAGCATATAGTCTGTTAAAGTGCAAAGAAGACTAGTAACCAAAGTGTAGAAATTTAATCTCAATTACTAACCATCTCTCTTTTGAAGGTAGGCAATAGCTCGAAGCCAAACTCAAATCATTGCAAACATTTTAAAACAAGATCTAAATGAAAGAGTATATAGAAAAAAAAACACCTGATATGTTTCACATACAGATTATCTGCTTTTTTAAATTTTAAAATTAGTCTTACAATTAATTTTAAACATTGAAGTTATTCAAACCTCTCTGCTTGCAGCAGATAAAATGTCATTTTGTTTTCATCTTTGGTTCAGCTGATTGGCTATGAATGTAGAGCACATATTTGTTTTAATGAATTGGAATGAACACTTCTTACAGTTTTCTCTGATCAAAATAGAGAATACCAGAAACCAAGAATTATAATCTATAAAAATATGAGGTTTACTTATTATATGGAAAAATACTATTTTTTCCTAATTATGGGCATACAATGTCATTTGATTTAATAAATTTCCTTTAAAAAAGCATTTATATTTCCTTTATTTCTTCCCCCTTTTAAACAATTATACCTGTATTATGTTTTGTCTCCTTTTTTTGCTTCTTAAGAAGGGCATCTGAGACCATTATATTTTAATTGTAATAATGAAATCTGATCATTTTTCATCATAGTCTTTGCAAAGATTTACAAGCTGAGTGAGAGCATACAATCATTTCTGAGTACCTCCAAGGAGCCAGTGCAGTTATTGTCCACATATTAATTTCAGCTCTCTGTAGCCCTCTCCTGTGCTCTATAATACATGCAATCACATAAGTGCTGTTCATTTGTTTCATGTTGGTATTGGGCCAACAACTGTAATTTTTCGTCACCCACACAGTTTCTCATTAAATTTTAAGCCCAATTCAGGAAAGAAAACTACTTGAGTTTTTTTGGTTGTGTATTTTTTCTGAAATCTTGAAGTGAAATATGTGTTGCTTCTCTAATAAAGCAGCAAATTATGGAGCACCCTACATCCAATAGACTAATTGTTTAGTGGATTATGCTTGCCTCTTAGTTCCCAGAAAATTCTATCTGTTCTCTTTTTCTTTTTCTCTTTTCCTTTTCCTCCTTTCTTTTCCCTTTTTGTGTAATTAGAATTTTAAGAAACTCTTATAAATTATTATAGGATCTTTTTGAAAGGAAAATTTTTGACAGCTATGATTTTTTTTCTTTTCTGGACCATGATTTTGTTGCTATATCAAAGTAAGCCAGAAAGAAGAATTGGAGTTCATTTAATATTAAAAACAATTTGTCTTTTTGTTAAATGAAAGTGGAAGAAAGAAAGAGGAAAAGAAAGAAAAAGGAAGGAAGGACAGAAGGAAGGAAGGAAGGAAGGAAGGAAGGAAGGAAGGAAGGAAGGAAGGAAGGATCCTATATTAAAAACCTTCCTAACATTAAAAATAATCACTACTCAGAATTTAAACAAAGTCATATAATATGCCATGTCTTATGATAATAATATATTGTTCACTAGACCACTTGACTAGAAACAGAAAGCATAAAAATGTTGCCTTGGCTCACCACGGCACTGTCTGAAAAGCCAGTTCATACTTTCCATATGGCCCCTCAGTCTAGAGCACAAACATTTCTGAAGCATGAGCCACATCATTCAAAACCAACTTTATCCCTGACTAAAGACATGACTCAGAAACCCCACAAGGTTGCAAGTTTCCAAGTAGTCTCTCTGGTCACCTAATCCACTGTTGTCTTCTTGGGAGTTAGAATAGAAGATTTTACAGCAACTCTTTTTTGTCTCTCCACTTAAAACATGGTGTTCCAAATGGATTAACCATACCACAGTTAAACACTTCTCAGAGGAGAGGTTTGCTGGTTACTTGGATTCCCCCTTGGGGATTGTGTAGAAATGTGAGTGGTGGTTCTCATCTTTTATATTTCTCTTCTCCCTACAGTAATTTAAAATTTATTCAGAGGAAAAACATTAGTAACTAGTCCAGATTATATAATGATGAGAAAAGAATCATTCCAGTGTTGAACCTAGTCAGTCATGTGCTTTAAAGAAGCAAGGTCATTTGAACATGAAATTGTCCAGATTTTTCTCTTTGCTTCCCTTCTTATATGTGCTTCTCTGAACAGCTTCAGTAGAGAACTATTTTGGAAAATTTAAATGTGATCTTTATAATCTAGAAACCATTTTTTATATCAAGCTATGTTTATAAACCTGGTATACCATCCAGTAGGCTGATGTGGCTCCATTGTGAGGAGATGAGAATTTTAACCACCAATTTTGGTGAATTGTCTGGAGTCCTTCTACTTCAACTCTCTAGACAATATCTTTATTTATAACATAGAGTTATAGGTTCTCCATTTTCTTACCCCAGGGAATCAGTGAAGCTCAATGACTTCATTCCTACTTTAGAACTTTTAACTCTGGGGAGGCAAGACTTTTTTCTCCTCTTCTAATAAAAAGGAAATGGTATTATTACATTCTCTCTGTAGACATTGGAAAAATATATATGCCTATCTTAACAGATGGTGTTATCATGTTTAATCCCTAATATTCCATTTCACTTCACACTATAGTTTTTATTTTATTTATTGAGGCCATCAGCTAACATTATAACTTATCATGAGCTGACAGACCATTTAATATTATCATTACCTTCCATATATGCAAAAACAAGAAACAAAACAAACCATACTTGGAAACCATACTTGGAGGGCTTTCAAAAATACACTTGTGATTTGGTATAATTAATGTTTATGAAATTATGGACTATGATGTATTGTACATTATTAAAATGAACAGAGATAGTCATGAAAAACATGTAACTTTAAGAGACAGTTATGTCAACACATTATGATAAATGAAATTTGATAAATGAAATATCAATTAAAATTTATCTATGGGACAGCTAGATCCTTAGCATGATTGCAAACACAGAGAAAACATAAGCCAAAGTCTTCAGTCTATAAGAACTTACTCTGCTAAAGAAAGTGAATAGCTAAAATAATAAAGCACCAGGAATGAATATGTTCCAAATGGCACAATGATGGTTATTAAGGCAATAAGAATTTAAGAAGGGAAAGAGAAAATACTGGAATAAGTTAGAGAAGACTTTATAAACATATCTATCATCCGTGGAGTCTTTCCAATATACCAGTCAGACACTCACATGGCAGTAATCCTCTGTGTGAAATGCAGTGACATGCCTACCCAGACTAGCAGCTCCATTCTAGGAAGTCAAATAGACAAAACATAAAACCTAAGTTAGATGGTGGAGCCAATTTAGGATCTCTAT